GGAACGGCCCCGACGCTGCCCCGGGCTGCGGGAGGCTCCCGGCCCTCGCTCTCCAGCCCCGCAGGCCCCAGGCGGTGACCATTCATTAACTAATTAACGGTTTAACGGCCGTACAACGTAAACGCTAAGCAACCTGACCGGGCAGGGCCTGCAGGGCACCTGCTGCACCGAGAACCAGCGGGCAGCTCCCGCCGCTCAGCAGCTGAGCACAGGGGTGCTCCAGCCCACCCCCACCCCGGTACAAACACCTCACAGCTGGGTTCTGCACCACAGCACCCGCATGAGCAACACCCCCTACCCCAACACCCAAAATACCCCCAACACCCCCGGCCCTGGTGCCCAGGAGGGATTTACACCCTCAGCAGGGCAGCGGGCAAAGCTTCACCCCTCGCTCCTTCCAGCACATGCTGCAAAAACCCGACACACCACACCGTAGAGATATAGATATATTTGTGGTGATGTTGCATATTTAAGACAACTTTACATAACGCTTCTGACACAAGAGTTTTGGCATCTTCCCCTGCAGTGGGGCCAGGCCCTGCACGGCCCCTCGTACCCTGCGGCTCCCCACAGCCCCCCCCGCGGAAGGGGGGACCAGCACACCCAGGTCTCCATCTGTTCCGTTTTACAACGCGCCTCTTGCAGCAACCAGCGTCCTTAAACAGGGGGGAGCGGGAGCGCGAGGCCCGTCAGGCAGGGAAGGCCGGGGCTCTGGAGGAAGGCGCAGAATGGCACAAATCTTTGGAGACGGCAAAACCCCGCCTGGGCCAGGCCCCAAGCCCTCCCCCGGCTCCTGCGGCCCCCGCCTCGAGTGGACGGGTTGGGCAGGCTCCAGCTTGTCCCCAGCCCTGCACAACTCCGGCCCAGGCTGAGATAGGAAGCATCTTCCCAGGGCGAAAACTAAACCCAGCATCAGTCTTGGAGAAAAGGAACGGCGCAGGCAGTTCCCTGGGAGGACTGTGGGGAAGGGGGATGCCCCGCTGCACCCCCTCTGGAGGAGGAGGGGGAAGCAGAACCCGTGGCGAGCTGAGGGAGTGGCCAGACCTTGTCACGCCTCTTTGCTTTTTGGCCAGGGAAGCTCAGCAGGCCCCGAGAGCTTCCGCCGAGCCGGGAAGAAAAGGTTGGGCCAAGGGGCTGTGGCACAGGGCACCTCCCAGGTCCGGCAGGCTACTGCCTCACCCGCAGCAGGACGGCAGCACCGGGGATGGCATTTTGGCAGGGGATTGGGGCATCTCTTTCCTGAAGCTGAGACAGAACCGAGAGCTCCCCGACCTGCTGTCATACAACACACATGGGCAACTCCAAATATTTGGCACAGTTTGGCAGCTGCCTCAGAGAACAGGCAGCACCCCACAACCAACCCTGCCTGAGGGGCAGCAGGGTGCGGCTCCCCAGCAGCCCCCAGCGGGAAATGGGGAAACAGCAAAACAATAATACTACTACTACTAAAAAAAAATATGTAAACGACCCAGCACCCTGTCCTGTTGTGACAGGACACCCAAGAGAACAAGGTATGTTACAGTCTGAGGGGAGATGGAGACACAAGGACATCCCGGCCAATGCGGGGTCTCGTCTCTATTGCACTTTGCATCATATATATTTCTATATATATATTTATAAAAATACAAACTAAAGGGCTGGGGTGGAGGGGATGAGATGCAAGCCCTGGGCCGGCAGCAGCTCCTCGCAGACAGCAGGCTTCTACCCCTTCTGCTTCTGCCTGTCCCTTGCCAGCCCTCCCAGGGGTCAGCCAGCAGCACAGGGCCTGAACCTGCAGAGATCCAGCCCGGGGCAGAGCAGGGTGCTGAGTTGCTCTGGAGCCTGCCCATCCACCAGCCTTCCCTCCCCCATCACCCCTTCCCGAGGCTCCAATTTAACAAACCCCCAGCAATTCCCAGCCGCTGGCACTGCCTGTGCCTCCGCAGTGACAGGCACCCTGGCACGCTCTCCCTGCCTGTTCCCAGGGGAGCCAGGCAACACCGACCTCACACCTCCCCCTCCGCCCAAAATACCCCACTGGAGGTTTTCCCCCCACCCGGAGGTTGCCATTCTCTCTTCCTCAAGTGACTACGGTGCAAATGGCACGGGGTGACGTGGTCCGGAGACACCCCCTGCCGCCAGTGACGGAGGATGCTCCTCATTCCCAAGGCCGCTGCCCCCCGTCTGCTCCTGCTACCTCAGCCGCCCGTCGGGTTTGACGGGCCCCAGTTCGGATTTGGGGTCCGGGGAGAGGGAGCTCCAGGAGGTTTCCCTGCAGGTCTCCAGGGAGGTGCAAGCAGAGGGGCTGCCCACGCAGACATCCGCCACGGACCAGAAGGCGCCGATGGCACCATCTACCCAGTCCTCCAGCTCCTTGCCCGTCAGCTGCGCCTTCTGCATCGCGTCCTCCTCTGCCTCCTCGGCCCGCGGCAGGTTGAGGATCCCCCCCAGGCCCTGGAAGCTCTGCTCCATGTACTCGTTGCGGGGGGGACCACCGTGCAGCCAGTTGGTGTCATCTGGGCAGCACAGGGAGAGAAGAGAGAGGAGATCAGCAACGTGGCAATGTCCCAGCACCCTGGGAGGCCCACCACCCTGCTCCCGACAGGGCTCAGCATTCCTCTGCAACCCCAACTCTCCTCCAGCCCCAGGAGGAGGTGCTGCTATGGGACAGATCTGACCTACAAACGGGCCCAGAAGGTGCCTGGCTCGAGGATTCCTGTGGGTAAGGGGACACCAGGGGGAAGGATGGCTCCTTCTTCATCATCAGCTGCAACCCAGCGAGGCCAGCACCAGGGGAAGTGCCTTGGACTGCCCGCAGGGACACCCCCCCAAGTCCAGTCCCAAACTCCCAGACCCCAGAGCATCCTCACCTTTCCTGAGAGGCTGCTTGCGGTTGAAGGTCTGGGGCACCACCAGGAACTGGTTCTCCCCCAGTGGCTCCCAGAACTGGAGGAGGCGGATGGTCCAGATGCCGGGGCGCAGGGGTCGGTTGAGGGGGGGCTTATACTGGGTGAACTCTGCCTCAGCATCCACCGTGATGTCGTAGGAAGCAGCAATGACATAGGTGGGGTCGATCCACACCACTGTGGCCGTCAGGTTGGGGCCCCGCGACCACTTCTGCATGGCCACTGGCTCGTCAAAAGGCCCCATCAAGCCTCCAAAATTGCGGAAGAGTCTTTCTTTGGGGTCCCACTCCGTGCCCACCTGGAGGGACAGGAGACACAAGCAGTGGGACACTGGGAAGGGAGATACTACCAGCTCAGGTTTTGCATTTCACCTCCCTGGACCAGGGAAAGCATAAAGCTTTGGAGCCCAAAGCAATGCACACCCCACGCTCCATGCAACTCTCCATGCCAGCAATAATCCAGCTGTGTGATGCCTCCTGCAGCTGCAGGCACTGGGCACCACAGCTCCAGCTCCCCCCCAAAAGATCCCTTTCAGGCCTTTTCCCCACACCACATAGAAGCCAAACTCCTGGACAAAGGTTTGTTCTCAGACATGACAGCGGCACTGTGTCCCTCTGTCCCCACAGAATACAGGTCAGGGAGAGGAGGAAGGGCAGCACAGTGTGGGAAAGCTGGGGAGGAAAGTGGGCGTTGAGAGGGAAATTCTCCCCATTTACCTCAAGGTTTTGTAAACGGTTTGCCTGCGCTCCATGACCTGCCAGCTTCAGAGCACCTTGGGGCATCATCCACACCTCCAGGGACTCTGCCTGACCAGTTGCTGAATTCTGCACTTCCTGCATCACCAGGTAACCCTGGAAACGGTCGTCATAGAAATATAAGTGCACACTGGATGGGAAGCCTCGAGGCTCAAATCTGGAGAGAGAAAGATAGAGAGGTTGCACATCTGAGCATCAGCATCCTCCCAGCACGAGACACAGGCCACCTTCGGAACCTGGATGGAGCCTGTGGCAAATACTCCACCTGCAGAGCTTGTCGGCCTTTGCTGCTGGCATGGAGGCAGCTTTGTGGAGCCCCAGCCTGGAGAAGGCTGTGTAGAAGGTGAGGGTGACGTCGCTGAGGCCGCTGAGCCCGTCCACACGGTCGTAGACGTTCTCCCAGTACGCCTTCAGGGCTGGCGTGTTGGGTGGGTAGCTGCCATAGAGGTGCGTGTCCAGGATCTCCAGCACCTCCTGATTCACTGTTGACTCAAACTTGCGGGCAAAGAAGGTGGGTCTGGAGAGTTGCTGGAAGAGAACAGGCATTTCTAAGTGTTGGCTGCACCTACCCTGCCCTCCCGCCTGAGCAGGGCAGCTGGGAGGGAGACAGACCAGGAATAAACATGCTGGACCCATCCTGCCCGCTCTGAGGGCACAGGCTAAGGAGCAGCAAAGCACAGCCAGGCTCTACAGGGAATCCTCTACTGACAGGAGCAGTGGGAGCACACAGCACACTTACTGGTGATGCAGATGGGTTCCCATCTCTCCCACTGCCTCCCCCTTTCCATGCTCAACAGCAGCCATGTGTCATCTAACTCCTTTGCTGCAATCTCTATTCAGATGGGCCCCCACCCTGCAGAGCTGCTGAGGAGCCCTGCACGAGGCCTGGCCACGGGGCACAGCTTGCAGGAACAAGGCCCTGCACTATATAAGCCGAGGACTGCTTTAAAAATCCTACTAACTTCTCTTTTCAGAGCTGGGTGTATCTCCCCCAAACCTCCCTTTTTCGGTCTACATCCCTATGCACCGAGAGCATGGGAAGCACTTTGTCACAAGGCATTTTGTCCTGCCAAAGAGGACAGCACTCTGAAGTTGTCTTACTGAAAAAGTGTTTGCCCCAGGGGATAGGTCTGCAGGGAAAGAGCAGGAAAATGGGAGAGAAAACTTGGGAAGAGGAGCAGGAAAATGGGAGAGAAAACTTGGGAAGAGGAGCAGCAATGCAAGCAAAAGCCTGGCTGCTGGGCAGGACAGTCAACGTAATCCCGTTGCCCAAGTGTCTACACGGCGGTTGGGGAGCCCATCCTGCTCCGGCCCTATGCAGGGTTGGGGTGAGGCTGGGGGGCATGTGCAGCAGCTGGCACTGCCCCCCGGGGAGCTCAGGGAGGAGGGGAGAGAGCAGGAGGAGAAAGGAGGATCTTTTTCACCTGTAGTCGGAGGAAGTCCTGGGGTTTGAAGTCATTTGGGGAGCACCCGCACCAGTCGACGATGTGTTTATATTGGCACTTACAGCCAAGCTTCCGGTTCCAGTTGGTCACTCGGAGGTTGTTATCAACCAGTGTCTCGCAGGCGTGACTGTTCTCCAGGACCGTGTGGAAGAAGGACTGTGCATGGCAGAGAAGGGACAGGGCACCCAGTGGGGATGGAGAACGGATGGTTAACAGAGACTCCCCCACCCCTCACCAGCAGAGGAACAGGACAGACCTCGATGGCTCCTGAACAGAAACCTATCCCTGTTCCCAGCACAGGGCAACACGTCAGGGACCAAGGCTGTGCACCCACACTGGCCCTGATCTGGCCCAGGGGGGCATCTGGACCTAAAGCAGGGCAGGATATAAATATGACCCTTGGCCTGTCTGCTCCTCTCTCGCCTCGTTCATAGTTCAAGTGCTCAAAGGGGAGGCACAAAGCTGCCTGAGAACCAGCAATGCCCTTCACAGAATCATCAAGGTTGGAAAAGCCCTTGAAGCTCCTCCAGTCCAACCACAAACCTCACACTGACCGTTCCCAACTCCACCAGATCCCTCAGCGCTGGGTCAACCTGACTTTTCGACCCTCCCAGGGATGGGGACTCCCCCCCTGCCCTGGGCAGCCCATTCCAACGCCCAACAGCCCCTTCTGCAAAGAAATCCTTCCTCAGAGCCAGCCTGACCCTGCCCTGGGCAGCTTGAGGCCATTCCCTCGGGGCCTGGCGCTTGTTCCTTGGGTCAAGAGACTCATCCCCCCTCTCTGCACCCTCCTGTCAGGGAGCTGTAGAGGGCGATGAGGTCTCCCCTCAGCCTCCTCTGCTCCAGACTAAACCCCCCCAGTTCCCTCAGCCGCTCCCCAGCAGACCTGTGCTCCAGACCCTGCACGCTCCGTTGCCCTTCTCTGGACATGCTCGCGTCATTCAATGGCCTTTTTGGGGTGAGGGGCCCAAAACCAAACCCAGGAATCCAGGTGCGGCCTCACCAGTGCCGAGCACAGGGCTCAGATCCCTTCCCTGTCCCTGCTGGCCACGCTATTGCTGACACAAGCCAGGATGCCATTGGCCTTCTTGGCCCCCTGGGCACACTGCTGGCTCCTGTTCAGCTGGCTGTCAATCACCCCCCAGGTCCCTCTCTGACTGGCAGCTCTCCAGCCACTCCTCCCCAAGCCTGTAGTGCTGCTGGGGGTTGTAGTGGCCCAAGTGCAGCCCCCTGCATTTGGCCTTACTGAAACTCCTTCAGTTTGCCTCAGCCCATCGCTCCAGCCTGTCCAGATCTTGAAGCTCTCAGCTTCACAAGCTCCCCAGGGCAGGGATGAAGCAGGACACAGATGTTAAGTACAGTGGGAAGAAAATCTGGCCCGTGACCAGTAGCCAGCACCCACCTCGGCTGGCAGGAGGGTGTAGGTGTAGAACTGGCGCAGCTGGGACACCAGTTGGTCATCAGCATAGACCACGTACTCCACAAAGCTGCGTGTCAGCGAGAACCAGTCGGAGCCCCCGTCCACCACGATGCCCTCGGGGATGTGGCGCTCACCCAGCCGCCACATGTGGGAGTCACACTCGTGGAACAAGCGGTCCAGGCCCTGCTTCTTGATAAACCTGGGTATGAGGAGGAGGGCTTAGGTGTGTCATCCAGTTTGTCGGGTGCAGCTGCATCCAGAACATCCCCCCCTTGCCCCAACTGTTTCAATTCGTTTCTGAAATCCCCCCTTTTTCTATTCCTCCAGCTCAGCTCTGCCCCTAGTTGCAATTACCTGGCATTGTCTCGGCCATGAGACTTCAGGAAGTTCTTATCTCGGTATTTGGACAGAAACATCACCAGCTCCTCGTTGGTCCTGAGGTGCAAATTCGAAAGCATTAACGGCCCCTGGGGTAAAGCAGCCCAGTAAACATTCATACTGCAAAAGCCATCAGACGCAAGGAGCCTAAAGCTGCCTTGTGGGTGTTGACTCAAACCCTTGTCCCATCGCTGGGGAGACACAGCCGTGGTCTCTCTGCTGTCTGACGCCTCACAGGCGTGTTCCCCTGCAACACCCAGACCACAGAAAAAAACAGCCTCCGAGGTACTGGCTGGGCTCCTCTGCAGAGCTGGGACCAGCCTAGCCCTGAAGCATCATCACCAGCACGTGGGTGCAATCTCCCAGCCCATCTGCCCTCAGCTCCCTGCTCCTCCCTGCCCTTCCCAAGGCTGCTGCAGCATCACGAAGCCCAAACACCTCTGCCTTCCTTCCCTGCCCTAGCAAGGTCCTCACCTCGTGGGGTAGTCAGTGGCACTCAGGTTGATGAAGAAGTCCCAGGGCCACTCAGCCAGTTCCAGCAGGTCCTTCATGCTACGCAGGTACATCTTCAGGAGACTGGCACCTCCCCAGATGGTTACCATGCGCCAGGGCGTCACGCGGACATTGGGGTAGTGCCGGGCCAGCTCCACCGCCTCGCGATGGAGGTAGTTGGAGCGCTGTCAGGGAACAGGCTCACGCTCAGCAGGGAGCTCGTCTTCCCAGGGCCCAGCCCTTACAGCAGCCTCCACAGGGAGGGGAGCAGCAAGACAAGACTGCTCTGGGCAGGGGGGATAGATCCTGCTTCCCTGGGGTTGCAGAAATACAGGTGGAGGATCACAGCTCCACCAGCAGCAAGGACAAACCCCACCCAGCCACTTCCTCCACTGGCCACCCAGCTCTGCACCCTGTCCCAGTGCACCCTTCCTCCCCTCACACACCTTGTCAACATGGATGTAGAAGAAGTGCTGCTGGTGGTACACAGCCTTGATGAGCCGCTTCAGCTGGCGAATGGCCCTGCCGTGCACAACCAGCATGTAGGCGATGCGCACAGGCTTGCTGGGGGGCATCTGCTGCAGCCGGCTCTCATCCCACTGGATGACAGGGCTGACCTTGCCTGCATGGGGAGGGAGAGGGCTGTCAGCTGCCCCCAGCCTCGGCACCCACCACCCCGAGCTCCTGATAAATCACAGAGACCTGAGGGAGGCAGGGGAGAGCTCAGCCTCGAGCAAACCCCATCAGTGCAGCCCAGACTGGCTGCACCACCAGGGCACGGTGGCACCCACAGCCCCTTGCATTAAATCAACGGGGCTGCATTGGGATGGGGCGGGAGGTATCCTTCTCTGGCCCCAGTTCTGACCTCTGCAGGCATTGCAGGTCGGTATGAACAGCCCAGCTTAAGGAGGCTGGCACAGCTTTGATTGGATTACAGAGGCACCAGTAATCTGGGAATCAGTGACAGATTGAGGCCACTTTTTGCCAGGTGAGACAGTTTGGTGACATAAGGAAGGTGGCCCACGCACCTGGCTGGAATATTCCCAATGCCCAGGGTGACTGGGAGCATCCCAGCAGCACTCACCCGAGAGCTGGCAGTGGCGAGGCACAGACTGGGGCATGAGGCTGCCGGCCCGATGCAGACACACCACGTTGGCGATCTCCTGTTGGCACTGCTTGCTGCTGGCCCGGGCCAGCGCTGAGAGGGCGTCTTTGCCTGTGATTTCACACTTGGGGGTGAAGCTGTTCTCGGTGGGCTGGGGAGCCCCCTCCACGCTGCCTGTGTCGCCCTGCTGGAAGACAGCCAGCTGGGCCTCCCCGTGCAGCTCCGTCAGGTTCCTTCGGCTGGAGGAGTCCGGCGCCGCCGGCAGCCTCCATCCCAGTTTGTGTCTGGCCGTGACGGCTCTCACCACCTTGGACACCAGTGCCCCGGGGCTGTCTGGCCGCCCCCGCCATCGCCCATGCTTTCGGCTGGCGCTGCCCCGGCGCCCGGCAGAGCTGTCCGAGTCCTTGGAGCCGTCGCTGCTCTCAGGCAACCTGGCTTTCTTCTGCCGCTCCTGTTCCAGTTCCAGGTGCATGCAGAAGAGAGGACAGACAGCATTAGCATTAACTCGGGCCTGCTTCCCTCCAGCTCTGCCAACACACTCCCCAGGGCATTCCCCAGCTTGATGCTCCCAGTCCCCACAGAGCACACTGCTGCAACATAACAGGTGCTCTGGGAGCAGCCACTGTGCAGCAAAGGACATTATACCATCCCTCTACCACCTAAAAGCCCAGGCTAAGACCTCACTGCAGCCCCCTGCATGGTCCTATGTCCCCCTCACAGGGACAGCCCCCTGTATACCAGCAAGGGAGACCTCGATTTGCAGACACCAGCCCAGACACACAAAGAAGGTATTGCTCTCTGCCACCGGGCTTGCCACAAGACTAACAGCAGTTGTGTCTGCACCAGTCACCCTCCAGGGTCCTGCACAGGCAGGGGCGTCCCTTGACACTGGAGATCAGCACAGGGGTCATCACCAGCTCTTCCCTGCCATGATCATGCTGCAAGTCCAAGACCAGCACATCTGTCTGTGAGCCAGGGTCCCAGGTGGCCACAGCTGTACTCTCCAGGGCTAAAAGGATTAGAGAGGCACTGAACAAGGTCCTGTCCCCACTCCCTTCCCTAGGATCTGGCTCCCAGCACTGGGCTGGAGCAGTCGCTGCAATCGCCAGCTTTTCTAGCAATCCCTTTAACAAACCCTCCTGCCAAGCCAAGTGGATGTGTAAAGGGAGCAGTTAATTATGCTTTGTTACCTCTGCCAGGCTGGCTGATGAGCAGAAACGAGTCAGCCTTGGGGAGAGGAGAGTTGGGAAGTTTGGATGCCTGCGAGAGCCACGCTCACAGGAAAGTGCTTTCCCAGGAAGTCATGTCCACAGGGCCGTATGCCCCCAGCCCACCAGCAGGCAGGCAGCAAAGCAGCTGCCTGCTCCAGCCAGGCCTTCCAGGGCTATCTCACAGTGCCCTCAAAACCCTGCCTGCCCAGACACTGTGCTGGGCAGTGCAGGAGGCAGCAAAGTGGACCAGGGGCCATTCCTGGGCAGCGGCATCTTCCAAGGATGGGCAGATGCCTCACAAGGACAGCAGAACAGAATTAGCCTCCTGCACAAACTGCACTGTAGGTATAAGCTGCTGGGAAGGTCACGGCCAGGAGAAACCACACTGTGCAAAGGCTGGGAAGCAGCTGGCAAGATCTGCTCACTCTGCAGTCCCTGAACTACCCACATTGCAGTGGTACAGCCTGAAAACTGTGGCTACCCAGGAAGGGGCCAAGCCACCGCTTAACTTCCAAGGGGCCAACATCAGCAAGGATCAGCCGAGCGCCTTCCGCCCAGACAGGCAGCGAACCGTTCATTAGTCACCAGGCAGGACCATCTGTTTCCAGAGTTATAAACTTGTTTTCTCCACCGAGCATCACAGGAGTGGGGACTTGGCAGGTGACAGGCAAGAAGTGAGTCTCCCTGCGGGGACAGGGCTGAGCCCGTGGGAGATGCACCGGCCCCACTCACAGCCTCCGCTCCGCAGGACACCTGACTCCGGGGACAGCCCCTGCACGATGTCACCCTCAGTTACAGTCCTGCTCGTGCCCTGTTCCTGGTTCGCAAGCACGCTCACTGCCGCCTTCTGTAGGGAAGTTGTGAGAAGCATCGCCAGCCTTTCTGGAGCTAACAGTTAACAGACTCAATGGCTTCTAATTACTGAACCACAGCAGAGCCATCCCTCCACCCCAGCCAGGCAGGGAATGACTCTGGCCACGTTGCCCTGCTCTATTTAAGACTTGTGCGCACGACTTTTGGTCAGGTTCTCCGTGCCCCTCCTTCTGACACACTCAGACGGCTCCAGGCACCAGCCAGATGTCACCTCTCCCATCCTGCCTCCCCTGCTGTGACACTCCTGTCCGCCCAGAGTCACAGAGCTGTGGGTCAGGTATCTACCTGCACCCTATCCCCAGCACAGGTCCAGCTGCCCTGGTATGTCCAAGCTCTGCCATTGCAAGGAGCAGAGCTAAGAGCATCTGGTGTCCTGCAGGATTTCCCCTCCAGTCGACTGGCTCTGGTGTCTGCCACACGCTCCTCACATTGCTCATCAGGCAAAAACAGCGCCAAAATGTTCCAAAGTCAGCAGAGAAATCTGGACTCCTGATTGCCAATTGCAGCAGCAGAACCTTAAACCTCACAATTACAGTGGCTGGAGACAGCCCCCTAAAAATGCTCTTTTGGGGAGGGGAAATAAAAATCAAGGAATCTCAGCAAAGCTGGAAAAAAACATGTTTCATAGGAAGCCTCTCTGGCGGCTGCAGCACACGGAGGACACCAACACTGGTCCTAGAGAGGTGCTGCCTCCTTCCTGGGAGGAGGAAGATAGGAGGCGAAGTGGCAGAAGAGACAGGACTGGGTGAAAACACTTTTCCCAAGTGACAGATCGTCTTCACCCACAAGGACACTGTGCAGTTTGCATTTTGCTGGTGCCAGCTCCACTGCAGGCCGCGCACTCCAGGGAGCTCACACACTTGCTCAGGAGCTGTCAGTGTCACCAGGACAGAGGCAGGATCGCCCTGGTCCCTCGGGCTCCCACCTTTGTGCGCAGACAGGCTGCAGCAGGGGTCTGCCAGCAAAGGGCGAGGTACCGATGGGATTTCCTCTCCCGTCCATTGATTCCAGTGAAACAAGAGAATTTGGCTTCCTAGACGTAGGAAGGTCAGTGTTGACCTGGGTGGATGAAGACTGCTCCAGCTGCTGCTGGTCTGCACACCATAAAGCATCTGCTTGGTGAATAAAGGGAGCCTGCAGGACCCTGAAACCGGGCTTGCAAAGAGCCACGATCCAAGCAGCACGGCCTTCTCAGGGAGGGTTGGGCTAGTGGCTCTGATGTGGCCGAAGCCCCTTACAGGGTAGCGACCAGTTGGTGCTGCTGGGGCGAGATTGGTTTACAGCCTGCTCCAGTGAAGGGCAAAGATCTGCCCTCAGCCTCTGATCAGCTCATATCAGGGAACCAGCGGGGATGGGGCCTGCCAAGCAGGGGAAGCTCTTCCCCACCCTGTGAAGGGACAGGAAGGAAACCAGCAGGCTTCAAAGAACCGAGCCACTGGCTGAGATCAGAGCAGCCTTTTAGTGAACTCCTAGGCAGTGCAGGCAGCTGCCAGCCCAGGGCACAGGGCTGCAGCACAGCCTCTGAGTGCCACAGGTGCCCCAGCCGAGGCACTGGTCTGGAGGGGAAGGCGAGCTCACCCAATTCCGGATGCTCCACAGCACTTACAGGGCTCAAGTCTCATTTTTGCTCTATACAGCAAGTCACAGCCCGTTCGTGGTGGGGACGAGCCACATAGAGCGGTGTCCATTAGTGGGAAGGAGCCATTTACTCTGGCAATTAAGAAATCCCAAGGTTCCCCAAATCCTTCCAGGCCTGCAAGGTCAGGCTCTCCTGGGAGGTTCCTCCTGCTTGACCAGAAATGCTCCAAGGGAACAGTGGCTCCTCCAGGTCTGGCCAAAATCAGAAGCTGCAGGAGGGCTCAGAAACCAAGAGCTTTGCCATTTTAGAATAAAAATTAACTGGACTTTTCCCAGCTTGCTAATGGGTTTCGGCTGTCCATAAAGTGCAGGATGGTTCTTGCCTTCTCCGAAGACACTTGTCTGTTCCCAAGCCCTGGAATCAAGGCTGCTGGTGGTGAACCATTACCTCTCCAGGCAAGGGGACCCATGGCCAAACCTGTCAGCTCCCCAGCTCGGTTTTGGGAAGAGACATGGAGAAAGCAGGCGAGGACCGTGGCAGAATGAGCCAACCCAGGATGCTGTGCAGGGTAGGGGCAGAGAAAAGGAGTCAAGCAGTGCAGGATGGTGCAGAGGGAAGGGGGAAGCCAGGACTGGTGAAATGACTTGATCAAGGTCATAGGAAAGGGGCACTTGGGCACTCCCGGCTGCCAAATCAGTCTGCTCTCACGCTCTCAGCACCTCCAGATCACTGGCAATTCTGTGTCCCCTCTCCTTACGGCATTTATTCCCTGGTTCTGTTTTGGTGGTGGGCGTACAGCAGCACACAAGGGTGCTCATGGACATTCCCAGTGGCCCAAGAGGAGGCGTGGGGCTGGGAATTGATCTGCTGAGTGAGCAGTCACCTTAGAGACCTTCCATCCTGCAAGGGGCTGCCCAGATCCCCTTCTCACCTCTTTCCTCTCAGGGAAAACTTTCTAGTTCTGTGAAAAGACCACGGTGTCACCCTCCACACCAGGGAGGCACCCCACAATGGGGAGGAGAACCTCTTGCCCCTCCAGAGATCCCTACCTCATGGCCACTGGGTTTGCTCTGCCACAGTTACCACGCTCACCCTGTGCCTGCCCCTGCAGAGCTCCCAGTTCTCACCACACACTGTTCCTGCCAAACCTGGTTTCACCATCGACCTGGGGTTTGCCAGCAGCCCAGTCTCTACAGGCCCTGGAGCATGAGGGTCCTGCTCAAGGTGAGGGGCTCTGGTGCCACACAGACATTAGCCAAGGCAGCCCATACAGGGACTCTCTCAGCCCTTCTCCAGTGCTCTTGGGAAAACCAGCTTCAGCCACTGGTCCACCCAGATGCAGGGGGCCTGGACGTGGTCCAGGCAGCCCACAACTAATAAATTCAAATAAACAACCCAGAGGTCATGAGCTTTGTTTAAAGGTGGCAGCAACGTGTTCCAGAGGCCTGGGTCCTCCTCAACACCTGCTCTGTGTCTGACCTTGGGCAAACACCTTCGCCAGCCCACACCTCAGTTTCCCCACACGTAAAAGAGAGGTGACACCTTCTGCCTTAGCAGAGTGTTCTGGTAGAAAGACACCCAACGGCTGAAAAAGGTCCTTGTACCCTCACACTCCACAGGGATATCCCTGACTGGACCAGCTAAACAGGAGCTGCCACAAACTTCCTGAGCTGCTGCGTGTGCTCTCCCCAGCTCTCCAAATTATCATTATGTTTTTATGTTTTCTGGTTTGGGTGTTGCCGACCCCTGCTTCCCACAATGTCTCCTAAACCACAGAAAACACAAGACCCCCGCCATGCCTCCCACCCTCCCCATCCCATGCCAGACCCCAACCGACAGCCCCTGGGCCACAAAGTCCCCTTCTCAGGTGCTCCGGCCCCACACTGCCACAGCCAGAGCCCCCTCACAGGTGACAGCCCGCTACCACCCCACAGCCACTGCCCCCCAGCAGCCTGGGGCCTGCGGGACCCCCGCCCATCCCAGGGACCCAGTCCTGGGACACGGCCTCGCCAGCCCCACAGAGACACCGGGG